GCTGAGGGGATGAAAGCAAACAACATTTATTGTCGTCTGTTAAGCTTATTATAGGTCATAAATAAATTAGTCTGACTACACAATCTTTTAGCTCTATATAATTCACATGTTTTTTCGAGTTATGCTATATTTTCACTTACAATATTTAAACAAACGCTCATTTAGAGCAGTGAATTTTCACTACATTCACCTGTTCGAATTTTCACGACCTTTGCAAAATGACGATGACAATACACCTCAAATTCCGGACATTTTATATGACAAAGGTCAAAGTAGCAGAGTTCGCACTGAAACTAATATAAGAACTATTTCGAAAAGTGATGCTATTCCCTTACTTAGATCCCTGAATGAAATACAGTCTCAGGTTTTTTATGACGTTCACCAGTATTGTCGGGACAAAGTTAATGGTATAAACCGCGATCCATTTAGAATATTTGTTACTGGTTCAGCTGTTACCGGTAAATCTCACCTTATCAAATGTATTCAATACGAAGCGTCTCGAATTTTTGCGAAAACTGCGGAAAGATGAAATCACTGTTCTCTTAACTGGGGTGCTTTTGGAGCGTCAACTATTCACAGCAGTTTTTCAATAAGAAAGGGGTTCTCATTTCCACCTTATCAACCATTGGGACAAGAAACTATTAATACATTAAGATGTAAATATCGCAACTTACAAATATTAATTTTAGATGAAATTTCAATGGTAGATCATAAGCTTTTGTTACATTCATGGGCGATTAGGGCAAATAATGGGTACCGATGAGTTATTTGGAAATATCTGTGTCATATGTTTTGGAGATATGTGGCAACTAAGACCAGTTAAAGGTAATAGTTTATGTCATGAAAGTGTCATAGACCTTAGGAACGGTAATTTCAAACTTGTTGAACTTACTGAAATTATGAGACAAAAAGATGATTTAGCCTTTGCCCAAACATTGAATAGAATTAGACAAAGAAAAAAAAGTGAACCAATGCTTGCTTCAGACGTCAAAATGTTACAGAGTATATGGGTAACTGGTAAAGAAGATTATTGTCTGCACATATTTTCTACTAATCAGCAAGTTGATGATTATAATTCTAGAATGATTGATGAAAAATGCCCGAATTCTGTGTCCATCAGTGCTCTAGATTATTCAAAAGATGTTAGAACCATTAAAATGACGCTTAAAACCACATGTGTTAAAGTGACTGATACACCATTAGTGTCTTGCTTAAAAATAGGTCAAAAGTTAGGTTAGTAATTAATTTAAATGTTTCTACTGGCTTGATAAATGGAAGTTTTGGTCAAGTAACATTCATTCAAACTGATCAGAATAATCAAACTGACAAAATTTTTGTAAAATTTGATAATGCTAAAGTTGGAATAAATGAAGACAGTGTTCCACTTCCGCCAAATGTACCACGTGGTATTGAGAGATATGAAAGCCCTCATGTTAACTATAAGGGCGATGTTAGACGCCAGTTCCCATTACGTCTCGCCTATGCAGTTACTATTCACAAAGTACAAGGTCTAAGTCTCGATAGAGGCGTAATATCACTTCATAAAATATTCCAAGCTGGTCAAGCCTATGTTGCAGAGTTAAAACATTACAGGGTCTTACAATACAAGATTTTACGGAGAAAAACATATATTGTGATGAAAAAATTGAATCCGCATTAGGGGCAATGGATACTTTTTTAAAACCCGAAAACGAGACCATATCAACTGATACTAATATAATTTTACACAATGCTCAGGGTTTACCTATTCATATAGAGGATTTACAGAAACACGGGAAAATGCTAGAAGGTGATATCATTTGTTTAACAGAAACATGGCTAAATAATTCAATAACTCCAGCAAAACTCAAGTTAAATGGTTTCCGTCTTCACCACCATCCTCGAAGCAGCAGCTATGATGACACTAGAGTTTTAAATATAGAACACATTGCTTTGAATATTTTGGATAAAAATATTAACATAATTGTTATCTATAGACCGCCCGTTTATCGATTAGATTTATTTCTCCTTGTTCAGCATTACACTACTGGAGGTGGGACATTTATAGATCATGTTTATATCAGTAAAGAAATTCCGTCACATAATGTTCACATTTCACACATACCTGTATATTATAGCTACCATGAAGCTATTAAAATAACCATACGATAAGTTATATTGATACAAAATTGAATTTACCCTTTCAAAAAACATTTCATTTAGCTTGGCTCTTTACTAAAAGTTGTCGAGTCAACACCGGGCTTGAGAGGGTTTGAAGTTCAAAAAAGTCTTACAGCTATCAGGCAAAGTATCACGGGCCACGCTCAGTGCTGTTCACAGCTCTAGTATTTATTTTTTTTTTCTTGACGGATTTCGACGAATCGTGGTGTGAGTGTTTGTAATCACCCAAGGATAAACCCTATTGAAAGTCAGAAGAATCCAACAATATTTAGTATGAGCTATTGCCCTTGTTTTTGAAAACACGTTCAATTTTTAGCTCTTAAACACTCTAGAAGGCACAATTCTCAACGGATTTTGACAAAACTTAGTATTATTGTTCGTAATCATCTAAGGATAAACACTATTGAAAGTCAGAAGAATTGAAAAAATATTTAGTATGAGTTATTGCCCTTGTTCTTGAAAACGTGTTAAATTTTTTAGCTAGTACACACTCTATTATAGAAGCCGGCTGCAGCCATATTACACTCGACACGAGAAAGCGAGGAAAAAGGCGAGAAAGCTATTTTCTTTTACTCTCGCTTTCTCGCCATTTTCCTCGCTTTCTCGCCTTTTTCCTCGCTTTCTCGCCTTTTTCCTCGCCTTTTTTCATTCAACTTTATCAGTGCACATTTTTTTTTCAAATTGTTAATTTAATTGAATTAATGAAAAATTAAAAAAAAACATACCAAATTTATTTTGAAAGAATGTTAATCAGAAGTAAGACATATTCCTACAAAATAATTTTGCTGTTGTTCCATGCATATACGGTATTTTGCATTTTGTATTTAAAATCGGTACCCATGTTACATTATTGGTAATCGAATGAGAATCTAGCATTAAGTCGATTTTTTTTATTAAAGAATAAAAAGTTATATATATGTGTTTACGAAATGGGATGGGCAACAAACAAATGCGCCTCCATTTCTATTTTGTAATATAACTATATGGTCCTTGGATTCGATTTATCAATGAAATAAGTGTTCATTTATAATGAAATAATGAATATGCCTATCAACTGATGTCTTATGCCATGAAAACTACTGTACGGATTTAAGCAAATTAAACGCATTATTTTAGAGAAATATATGCCGCCTAATTTTTCTGAAGGTTCCAACTAAAATTATTGAGCCACTAAACAGACAAACATCAAAACTAGGTCAAACTAATTAATTAAGGCGAGAAGTCGAGGAAAGCGAGGAAAAATGCGAAAAGGCGAGAAAGTGAGGAAAACGGCGGGAAAGCGAGGAAAAAGGCGAGAAAGCGTGGAAAAAGGCGAGAAAGTGTGGAAAAAGGCGAGAAGGCGATGAAAAAGACTATGAATATAAAAAATATGGATTTACAGCAAATATAAGAGTATATTCTCCAGATTTAACCTTCCCCTTTAAAATATTTAATTCTCAATTTCTTTTTTTCGAAAAAATTGTAATTGAAATTATTTTTCCTATACAGGTAAAAGTTGATTCAATATTCTTCAGACAAGGATCACCATCATCTAATAAATTTAACGGTCGTAAAGTTCTTCAGTTTATCAATGGTACAGAAAATGTGGAAACTAAAGAATTTGAAATTAACGACGAAAACAGCAAGGTTGATCTCTTAAATGAAAATAAAACGAGTGGAAAATATATAGATATTTATAGAATGTTAATCATACCAGATATGATATTTTTATATTAGGTGAATTTAATATGATATTGGAAACGGAAACTCCACCATCAGTAAGTATTATTAGAAATCCAGAACCACAAAATAAAAGAATAAAGAGATATGACTTTTTACGAACGACAGACTTTGAATACGTAAAACTATATTTTGTAATAATAGTTATTCATTCGAATACACTTCTTCAACTGATTTATTTACCTCAATCGATATTCATAAAAGTCAACAAGTTAAAGAATTTGTAATATTTTCATCAATAATTGAACGCAATGATAGATTAGAAATTGGAGGTGTAGATACTTGTAGATGTAAAAATCAATATCGAAAAACCAAAATTTTCAGTTTATCTGAATAAGATTAATGATTCGAAAGAACAAATATCGTTTGTTACTGTAGAAGTTTTTATTATTAAACCTGAAATAATTATAACAGATAATGAAAAAATACTACCTGGTGGACATCTTAGTGGGCAACCATTTGTAGATGTTAAACACTTTTCATCTTTTGCTTTATCAGAAGTTCACTTAATTTAATTACCTAAAAAATGGAACTAGAAAGCAGACAAAACTACATGATAGAAAAACAAAACTAAAACACTTTAACAAATGTACAAAAACATGGAGTAGAATTGATTCTGTTTTCAAAACATTAAGTACAGTTTTAACAGTAGGGATAACGGTGGCAACAGACGGTGGATTAATGCTTCCAATAATTGTCCCAACTGTATTAGCCGCGTTTACTGCCGTTCAAACTTCATCTTGTGGATTGATTACTTTAGGTTTTACATCAAAACAGAAAGCTCATTATAAAAAGAAAACAGAAATTTTAAATACATATCTTAATAAATTATTCATTTTTTTCGAAAGATCTAGAGAAGATAAGAACATAAGCATTGAAGAATTAGAAAAATTCAATGAAATTTTAGATAAATTTGATATAGAAATATCATCAATAAAAGTTAAAAATTCCTAGTTAAAAATAGATACTTTGGAAATTGGAAATTTAAACAAAGGACTATCTAAAAGACTTTTTTCATCGATATTCAATTCAATACCTAATATATTTTCGCGTAAATTTGACGAAGAAGGTGAAGAAAAATTTAAATATGTAGTTGATAAGACAGCCGATATTCTTTAAAAATGAGGAGAATGAAATTAAAATATCAACCACAAAATATGATTTTTTCAGAATTAATCAAGAGAATAACTATTCTATTTGATGATTTTAAAATTAAAGGTCAAATTGAAATAAATGGTCAAATATATGAAAAGGGGGAATATAAACAAGACATGAGATATTCTGGATTCAATGCTCAAACTTTCAAGATTAATCATTCAAAGATGCATGATAAATCTGACGTCTCTGATTGGTATTTTACAGGAGAGATTATTTTCCGCAAAAATAATTTTAGAATAGTAAAAAGATCTAAAACTGGCAGTGGTGGTAATCTACTTAAAAAGATAAACGAATACAAAGGCGAAAATTGTTACATACCAAGCGATGGTTATTGTTTTATAAAGTGTGTAAATCACTTCATGAATAAAGACTTAATAAAGGAATTTCAAGATTTCGTCTACAGTTTTCAAAAAGCAAAAAGAAAAGGAGTGATGACAGTTGGAGGAATTAAGATATTCAACGATCGATTTAATACAAATTTTCAAATCTATAACCCTAAAGACAGTCATTTTCAACCAAGATATGTAAACATAGACTTAGATTGGGTTTTTTATTTACACAAAGAACATTTCTGTTTGATAAGAAGAAATAACAAAGCTTTAGGTATTAAAGAAATAGAAGATAATTACGATGAAAATGTATGGAGAACCTGCAGAAATGATGATGCAATAACATGTTTTGCTCAGTTAAAACTAAACGTGATTTCACAACCTCATGATGATACTTTATTCGCTTGGGATTGTGAAACCTATAGCGAAAAAGAAACGAATAAAGCTATTCCTTATTGTTGTACTTTAGTCAATTTGGAAAAACTAAGGAAAAAACTAGAACTAATTAAAAGAGTATTCCCAGGTTTAAAGCCAACTGATCCCATTCCAGAAGAATTTTACAACAAACTCATGACTAATATAGTAGAAATATTTGTAGGAACAGATTGTTTCGATCAGATGTTGCGTCGTTTAGGTACAGTAGATCAAAAACACTAATCTTAATTTCCCATAACGGCAGTGGTTTTGACAACTAGATTGCACTTAAAAGCCTTAATAAACTAACGCAATGTCCACTAGTAACAGATAAAAAAAATTCTATCTCTTCCTTTATCTAATCCATATACAGAAGAAAGATTGCAGAAAAAGTAGAAAAGAGAGAAAACATAGAAAGGAGAGATAAAAATATCTGATAAAAATAACTATTTACAAAACATACGTCTCACTTGTTCCTATCAACATGAAAAATCTATATTGGCGGCATGGGGTAATTCATCCAATCTACCAATGAATTTAAGAAAAATAATGAATGTAGACATTGTTAAATACACCGAAGATAATTGGGAATCTTTAAGACACGAATGGGAACCTTACGCTAAAAGAGATACATTATGTCTCGGAGCTTGTTTGATAAAATACAATCAAAGGCGGAAAGCGCGAGAGCCTTTCGAAAAGAGGAAAATGAAGAATTTGTCAAGCTCTTTAATGAGCAGAAATTCAGACCTAGAACGGGAATATTAAAAGTCTGGTTTAAATATCCTACCAACATGTTCTTCCAACCAATACCCGCTAAAGATAAAATAACTTTTACGAATAGAATAGGTAAGAAGGAAACTGGGAGTAAAATCAGGTTTAGAAATAGTTTCTGTTTAGATGTATTAACATCGGTTGACATTCAAGAAATAGTTAAAGCAGGTGGTAAAATACTCAAGATATTAGATGGTATAGTATACGAAGAAAATTTTAAAACTCCACCATATAGAGATTATATTTTAATTTTGAAGGAATTAAGGAATAAGTACAAAAAGGGAGGGGATGTGGTTGCCAGTAACTGCATGAAGTTGTTAGGTAATTCCTTATATGGTAAATCTATTCAGAGGGATAGAAATACCTCATTGCATTTATGGAATGCAGAAACCTTCCGCCTTAATTACGACAAACACGTCAAGAAGTATGACAAACTAAATGAGACTCAATAGATTGTTGAGATTAATGACGAAGAAAAAGAGTTTGTTCCTCCAAAGGATTCTACAAGATTAACACCCACTCATTTAGGTACATTTATATTATCTCACAGTAAAAGATTAATGAACAATTTTATTCACGTCTTAAACCATAGCTATGCCGTAATCTATTGTTTTTTTTTAATCCAATATCCAGAAGAGTGGCTTACCTCAGCCCTTAACACCCTCAACACAGTTCACTAACTATCTATTCTTAATCTATAACTATCCATTCTTAAAGAGAAACTGTACATTATTAATTGTAATACCTGACAGTGGAAATTAGGTACAACAAACAGATAACAAAATACAAAATTTATTAGCAAACCGGTACACTAACGTAATAATGTTTCACACAAAACAGTTCAAAACTTTAAACAAAATGAAACGGTCTCTGATTGGAAAGAAAGATGTTTTTCACCTTCTTCCGTTTCATCGTCTTTCGTGTTGGTGGCCGTTTTCAATTTTTTTGCATGGTGGAGGAGAAGCATTATGTATCAGTAAAATCTTACTCATTTCAGCTTGCTGGTTATCATTTGTACGTTTGTAGTCTTTCTTCTTCTGAAAACAGAATACGTACTTTTATCTTTAGACACTCTATGTATACTTTATCAGTGCTCCTTGTGGTATTAATTGGTAGCACTAATAGTCAGTAGTATCGACGGGGGTGATCGATACTGAACCGAAGATGTAGCAACGACTTGGAGTAATGGGGTTTCGCCTGTGTAGCTTTGGGGGTTGAAATGGTTTTCTAAGCAGAAGTGTTGGGAATGTCCTTGATTCGGGTTTTGGATCTAGCTTGTAAATAATAAGATCTGAAATGTTGTACAATGTAATATGAATTGGTCTAACATATAATAATACAATACAATATAATATATAAAGATAGTTGGTAAAATATGACTATTACATATGAAGACATTTAAATATTAAGAATATAAAATACTAAAAGATCTAATAGTTCTTACCTGAAATGTTGTACAATGTAATATGAATTGGTGACGACTGATGTTTGCTGGTCATATTTATATTGGTCATTGCATCATAGGCTTCAAGGGTGTTTTAATCAGTCGCCATTCAATTCATATACATTGGGTAACTTAATGAGCTAAGTATTTATATTAGCAGTCATATTATCTAAGATCATCAAAAACATGAAACACAGTTGATTAGCATTACTATATAATTGATATTCCTAGATAATATTACATGTTGTCATATAGGCTATTATAATACCACTTTAATCGAGGATAGAATCTAAGGAAGATTCTTAGGATATCCTTAGAAATTAAGGAAATATTTTCACTTAAGATCTTTTATGCATACGGGCCTTATTCTAGAAAACTTAACTTAAGATGATTTTAATTTTCCAGTCATCTGATTGGTCAATTAATATAAACAATTTTAGATTTAATTTTGTTATCCAAACAGATTATTGTATTTCTTAAAAAATGGATTTATTAAAGTTAAGTTTTGTAGAAAAAGGCCCCTGTTGTATGGAACCATCCTTAAGTACTTTCAAAACCATATTCTATGCCTATATCAAACTATATTGAAACTATATTAATGTACACTCAAATATTATTCTACACCTGGACCTTTATAAGGAGTACATACAAAATTATTAGGACATAATAGTTGGCAGCATCAGCAGTGGAGGATCCACGTGATTGTTTTCAGATGAGAGTCGCTACTGTATTTTCTCCGAAGATAACAAAAGTACGAGTGTGTTGTTGGTGTGTTCCAAGCATTATGGTACGGGGTGCAACCGGTGTCAATCAGAAACTTGAACCTGTTGCCTTAGAATATTGGCTTAGTCAGAGGCCATAGAACCAGAGCCGCCCAAACGCTTCGACCAGCTAGGTTCTCCGACCTCACGTTGTACCCCAATTTACAAGACTCCAAAACCACACCTTCCAGCACGAGAACGCCCGTCCATACTCAGCCCGGATTTAAACCCGATAGAACACTTGTGAGATGACATCCAAACCAAATCCAATTACTCCAAGAAATGCAGCCTTCCCCAGGATCTGGTCGTAGATTCCACTGGCGTCTGTTAACCGTCTGTGCCACTCCATATACAACAATTGCACGAATGATGCCAAGGCCCTATATTTAAGACAAGAATGATACTGTTATTCGTGAGGATCGACCAATTTTCCTTCGATTTTCAGAATTGTACTTACACTACTGCAATCTAACAAATTGTTTGTTTTTCTGTTGGTGTTTTGTCGGCCTATCCGTGCATTTACATTTGCTGGCTCATAAACTTGTAGAATCAAGAATACCCACTGCCAGACATTTCTGTTTTATTCGGTAAACTATGAATTAACGTAGGCCATTTTAGGAGTTTATGTTACTTTGGGGGATTCCACCACAGAAATGTCTGGCAGTGGTCTTCTTTATAAACGAGGCTATGACTAACTAATCAACAAAAGATTTAAAGCTTTTGAGCTAAAGCAGCCGACAAATCTGGGCCCACTCAGTTCCTCAAACTTAGGCCTATACGGAAGAAAAATAAAAGTCTCAATTTGGTAGAAAACAGTCTGATATTATATCTTTATTTATTAGTTTATTAGGTCTTCTAATTCATTTCAAGCTGAGCTGGAACACAATGTTTTTTCAAGTTAAAGCTAGTCCTACCGTCCTTTAAATAATAACCACATGATTTTAATTGTAGATTATAAAAGTGTTCCCGTTTCATACAATAGATTGCTTGGTATGATCAATAATTTACTGTAGTCTGTATAGTCTACATGATAATAAATAAAGTTACCTCCCATTAACCTGTAATTATAATAAAAATAATGTAAGCCTAAATTTGGAATTTTGAAGTAGGCGTATATTTTTATTTTTCACAAATCCCTTTTGTAAATAGAAACAATAATTGTAAAAGTGAATCCTATGGAAAACTTGTAATTGATCTCATAATGTGTGGTTGTGACGACATACATAAACATTATAAAACAGAGATAGCTATTTTTAGTTTATTTACTGACCTACATTCATATTCTGTATTGTTGACATTTGATGTTAAATCATAACTTCGATACAGGATGTTAATTTGACAGATATACAAATACCTAATGACGAGCTTGATCAAATAATCAAGAAGGCCTAACCCATATTACTCGGAAATATCGTTATAACTTTTGGGTTGTAACATAGGAACAGTAATACATATTGGATAAATTGAAATACGGGGGAAGTATGTATGTATACCATTATTATATAAAATTACACCGTATCCTACGTTTAGTGATAAATATTTAGGTTTTTTTTTTTAAATAATCCTTTTGAATTATTTTTGGCATCAAACTTATTTATTTTATCACCATACTAGTACAAACCTAAAATATCAACTTGATGGATAGGGGTTGGTAAGCGAAGAATATCTGTCTGATCTAATATGTCATGGGATCTATACTGTGTGAATAATACCAATGTTTTACCCAAAATACTTCCACTGCCCGAAAACAAATTGATTTTCAAATATTACGTTTCGGCTTTCTGATAGATGTTGTCTTGTTTCCAAATCAAATATAAATCCAGGCTGAAAATTCTCTTAATTCTATTTTTCTATCTCTGTTCAGCTAACTGTTATCATCAATGGACCCCAACGTTCCACCTCCAACCTATGAAGAATCTCAAGCTGCTAGCTATGAACCTATTGATCAATCCCAGATTGATGTTATCTCAAAGAATACAGTTATAGAAGATGGAGTAAACGAAGAAGGAATTAAGAAAGAGAAGAATACAAATGTCAATAATCAACCTTTAATAAACAATCATTCACCAATAATCACAACTCAACCTACATCCGTGGCAGCGTAAGTAAATATTCAACAAAACTTAATATCCGTCTGACCTTCAACCTCTATTCTAGTTTCTACTGCAACGAAATTGGTAGATCCACGGCGCAATCTTCACTTACAATACCAACAACCATTGCTTTAATATAATAGAGGACGTTGGTGGCCATTCTGAAAATAGCGTAAAGATAGCCTGGTATACAATTCAATGTATTTATCAAGTATCAAGCATTTATGGAATGCTCTGGAGTCTTCATCTGTGTTAAACAAGGCTTCACGTGTGTTAGACACAAAAAAGTAATAGTCATCATATGAAATGGCATTCTAATGTTTTCTTTTCAGATATACCGCTGTGGATGGTGGAGGAACTCACGTGGCTGACGATTCTTGTTGTACTTATTGTTTATGTTTATCAGTATCGTGGGACAGATCTGTTTGCTGTCACTCTCCGCGATGTTGTAGTTGTGACGATTGCTGTGACGGCGATGGTGACTGTGATAATTGCTGTGGAGATTGTGGAGATTGTTGTGACTGTGATTGTGGTGGAATGGATTGCGGTGGATGTGATTGTGGTGGATGTGATTGTGCGTTTTAATCTGTACAGTGGAAGTCTAGATTGTATGAGAATTGTACATAACAAGAAAGCCTATTGCTAAGAATAGAGTTGTTTGACTATTAGCTTTACCAGTTGAAAGAGCTCAGTCTAAACCATCCATCAGATTGATAATACAATAGCCAAATAAAATAGAAATTTACTATATAAGGTAGACCAAATGTGTAGATGACCAATTTCTTCTTAACTTTTAGGTGAAAACTAGTCATAACAAACTAATAATCAAATTACTTATATGTAGTAATTGAAAGTTGAAAGTTTCCACTGTTAGCTATTTACTATGAAGTAATTTTTAAGGATTTAATGTTTCCTGGTGTTATATATTGCCATGTCAAGGACAAAATACGTCACACGACTGTCAGAACATTGTACATTGTATTACAATCATCTAAGATAAATGTGGATGTCATGCAGGAATTGGTTTCAGGGGTAGATGTAACCATCAATGTCTCTGATAAGAGTTTTATTGTTTAGATTCTCCATATTGTTTTAACACATGTTTTGCGTTTGCCTTTGTATCAAATTTACTATTTTATTTTTATAATTTTTATCATGTCGTTTTGATAACATATAATATAATATATTAATTCATTTATATAGTGAGGTACGGAAGCGTCCTGGAGCCATATTAACAGAAGAACAAAATATTTATATTATCAATTTCGATATTTCCGGCCCATTCACTGAAGATAATTGCGTCATTTCTCCATCAACCCTAGCTCGACCACAGAGGTTCAATCGAAGTCACACTATGTTGGAAGTCGTATCGGAATATATTTACCTTGGTGTATAGTGTTTAACTATAATGGTTCCTTGGATAAGGCAAAATCAATTTTTATTCATAAAGCCATCAGTGCTATGTTTGGTATAATTAAAAAAGGAAAATAATTGCACTTGAAAATTGACACTACGTTGCACTTGTTTGATACAACTCTAATACCAATTCTAATGACGTATGCATCTGAAGGGATATTGAGCGAACATCATTTTGGGAGTGAAAACTTCAACACCTTCACCCATGATCTACGGAGAGCTGGGAATCATCCCACTAAAAATTATGATAAAAGTTAGATTAATTATCTACTGGTTAAGTCATCGTTTCCAAACCACAACCCCATTCGTCATCAAATCCCATATTCGTGATACGATGTATAACATCTCTACTTTCTATTCGTATATATATATAAGTATTAGCATTTCCATTTTCATAAATGGAAATAAGGAAACCCATCATTAAGGTGTACGGTTTTTATTTCCTTTGCAGTATGGAAATCCCAAACAGGGGTCCCATGAGAAAGAACAGACCCATAAGAATCAAATAGCTTACATTTCTGACTAATATCGTTTGTTCTGATATATTGTCATACTACGCTCATGCACTGCTTTATTTTTAGAATCTTATTGTCTCTGTCACGTGCAGCGAAATCCTTTTGTTATCATCTGTGACGTTATCACCTTTATATCATATGACTGATCAAATTTAAAGTGACAATGTTTCAAATGTATAAAAATGTAATTCTCATTATTAGTGTTGTTTGGAATCAGATTAATGCATTAATAATTATCAGCCCTTTAAATGTTGAATTAGAAACTGATATATCTGATATAAATAATCAAGGGTTGATATTTCACAATATTGTGGGAGTATATGTGGCTACAGTGTGACCTGTGTTTTCCATATTGCAAACGAAAGAATAAACCATACAGGGTTCATATCATCGGAATTTTTCTAAAGTAAGTAAACGTGGAAAATATTTTTTTGAAGAACACTATTCAAGAGATAATAAAGGAATACATCCAGCAACTTTGATCAATGTGTGATCTAAGAGGCACCTAAATGATTGCCTTTGCCACAGGCTATAATATAACCCAATAGCATCTACCATGATTACTTTCCAGAATCAAACTCCGAGGTCTGGTTCTCCATTCCACAAACACGCACATTCCAGTTTAGACTTTCGTGACTTCCGTGCACTATTCACAATTTCTCTTGTAATTATTACTAATGGCGTCTTTATATAGGTAATCGCCGCGACTATAAAGAATATATGCCCTCTTGCCCTGTATAAGAATCAACATGTTTTCGTTTATTTGTGTTAATATAGATGAGTTATCCCCAACAAGGTGGTTATCAACAGGGTAACTATGGTCCTCCACAAAACCAGCCAGGATATGGATACAACCAACAGCCACAAGTTGTGTAAGTAGAAGATATCTGAACCTTACTAGTTCGTGGGTAAAGGGATTTCAATCTCAATTTTATATTACTCACCAAACATAACTACAGACACAGAATGTTTGTTTACTAAAAATGTTATTCTTTCCCTTTAATTGTGATTTCTCTATCGACTTAACATTCAAGGCAAAAGCTGCATTTATTAAATTATTCATTATTCCTCCAGTTCGAATTGAATTATTTTTTACCTTTAGCGAGTAAAGTTATGCCTACAACTATTGTATTTTAAATTATTTCAGTTTGATTATAGATATACTATATGTAGTTGAATTTTATTTTGACCATAGTAATTAAAGTCTTATAAGAAATCAAGACCATTGCTTAATTCATTAATTATTTAACATGTTTTGTACTTCAGGTATGTAACTAAAACAGAAGAACATTGTCACGATGATCATCATCATCACCATCACGATGATGATGTTGCTGCTGATTGTTGTTTACTAGCTTGCTGCTGGGCAACTCTCTGTTGCTGCCTTGGTGCAGCTACGAACTAAATGTTCTTGTTCCATTCAATTATGCAGAAAATGACCAAAGTACACTGCAAAATTTAGTTTTATTTCATCCGATATTAATTGATCCTTATTACCTTACGATAGATATTTTATTGTTTTTGGCTTGGGTATCGTCGGAAAGGCAAGATTATTCATTTTGGGACCTTCCTTCACACCAAAAAGTCAATGGTTGTCAACCCATACTAAACTGTCGTGTGGAAAAATGTCGATTGCCGATACCGCGTTATTAATATATATAATTGGTTAGTAGCCTAAGGGTCAGCAAACAAGAAAAGGTCTTAAAAATATATTGGATATCATAATAATGACCTATTTATACATCACACGAATTTCGTCATATATCATTTTCTCCTGCTTGTTGATCTAAACAACCGTGATGTACTAGTAGAATGTAGTTGTGTGAGGATCTTTCTTCTGCTATACCACAGGCCCTTGAAGTGCTTTCAATATTAATAAGATATGGACAATGTGGAGAAAACAGTGTCAAGGTATAATACGTATATACATATACGTCGACACTATTTTCTCCACATATTTTATTAATATTGACAGAACTTCAAGGGCCTGTGGTTAAACCAAAAACATATTGGATAATTTGCCAGCACAAGATCAAGTGTACGTATACCATTTAATATGTATTTTTTATTATGTATGTATATATATGTTTTTTAATTCAATATTTTATTTAGATTTTTGAGATTGTTGTTTACTCTGTTGATTATTTGTACAATCACTGCACTCAAGAGTTTGCCAAATATAAGAAATGTTTTACTTCAGACATATTTGAGAAAATTGGTCACATCATAGAGCTATACTTCGGACCTATTATGGTTCAATTCATACAGCAGTTCCATTTTGTTCAAATCTGTTCCGGAGAATGGCAACAATAGGGGTGTAATATCAACTCAATGATATTTTATGATTTTAATATGTCCATATGAGAAATCATTTACAAAATGGTTGACTTAAAAAATTTTAGAAAGAAACCATCTAAAACTGAAACTGAATAAAATAAAAGTGTAAATAAAAGATTGGCTTACAGAGAGTAAAATAATTAAAGTACATGCTAAGAACACAAATTTATTCTAAAAGGCACTACAAGACAGTAAGATTCAGGATGCAGAAACTTAAAACATAAATGGACATGAAAATTTTATCATTTGAGAAAAAACAACCTTCATTTTCTCAATTTGTTTATAATTCTAGGATCCAATCCTACAGATCACTTTATCAAAAAAACATTCCACAGCTCATCTGGCTGTAACAATATGCAGAGTTGTCATCTAACTCTTCAGTTTAAAGCAGATCTACCTACAAATCATACAGAGCAGTATCATGTAGAGTGAACAAACCTGCTGTCCAGGCTCAGAGTTTAAAAAATACTCCAATGACTGAAAGACCAAGGTTTACAGAAAAGGTTTACACAATTTCCGGTCTTGTCTTAGATATTTTAACATTCTATAACCCTTATCCTTATTCTCTAAAGATTACAACAAACCCTGCTCAAACCTGTATAAAATACTAGAATTATGAAGATAAAATAAATATAAGTGAATATACAAAATGAAATAACATATTTTATATCACTGTTAAGGAATGTTACAACAAGTCTTAATATTTCATACAGAAAGTTGGATGGGGCATACACTTTTTATTGGCCTCAAAGAACAATGAGAAATAAATATCATTATTGAAGTTATCTATATAAAAGTATACTTAACAAGAATGAAACAAACAAGTGAACAATACACAAACAAAAAGAAAATATATTTCTTTTCTCCATAATTCAACTATCAACTTTAATACTACTTATAAATAAATTTCAAATTATTTCTTACATCCACTTTTTATTAGTTTTTGAGGAAAATGAATGCATGTCAACATCACCTTCAAATTTGGAAACCATCAAAACCTGAAGCAATTAACAAATGTCAGATTTAGAGAAGAATAACATCTGCAAAATTGCCAATCAAAATACTGATTTTTGAAATTATTTACTTTTCACATCACCTGTGTAATATCTTAAATTTTTTCATCGAAGTGCAGATGTGTTTCAGGTGGTCTAACCTTTGACCACTGCTTTTAATTTGTAAATTTGATGGAATTTCAAAACTAACTGGAAATAAACCTTGCACATATGATAATTTCACCCTGTAGTGTAAACTATTTTCTTGCTGACTGTTATAATAAACCTATAGAGATCAATTTTAAGCTAAAATATGAACTAAAAGTGTTTTCATTTGTTGAAAACCTAAAGGACCAGCAAGGTGGTTCAGGTCAACCTTGCAATAAGCAAGTGAAGAACTTGATTTCTGATGACTTATACTAACTGGCAGAATTGAGAAGATTTTATTAATTGTTGGATTAAGTTGTTCTGATGCAACAATTGCCGCTTTATCACTGATCAAGCTTTCTTTAATTCACTGTTATATGTTTCAGAAACATTTAAGGTCAGTCCTGATTGTGACCTCAATGAATAAGGCTTTTATAGTTAAATATATTAAATCTTTCTTTTACCTTATATATATTTCCTTTTATATTTACCTTTATTTATAATTATATCATGTAATTAATTACTGGTAATGAATTTATAATTTAATTTCATAATAATAATATTTATTTCATTCATAATAAAAAATGATAAATAATGAAATGATCTAAAATAATAATAATAATAATCAATTTATATAATACTATATACTTATGTACAATATATATACATAACAATCATAATATTCAAAAACACAACAATAATCATAATAATGGACATTTTATTCTTGTATAGCAATATGTCAAAAACATGTTTTTATATGGGAAATATACTTCAACACATAATCAAATGGCAGCAAGTTTCAGTATTTGTATCAAAACCAACTTTTTGAGGCAGAAAAATACTATAACAAAATATTTTAGTTAGTATTTTTATTACCGTAACTGAAAACAAAATACATGTACTTTACTCCTTTAAATAATTTTTATATTAATTTTTTCAATAATTGTTACTAAATTACGTGGATAACCAAAGTTTTGCCTGATGAAAAACAAAAGGACATCAAAACAGTGTTCAATAAATAAATATTGTTCTAACCAACAAAAAACAGAAACTTTATTAAACAACAACATTTGGCTGTCAACATATTTTACATTACAATTCAAAACTTATATATACACATTGGTTGAAAATATACATTTTGCAATATTTCCTTGCATACTGTGAACGATGGAAATGAAACATGATGTTGTAATGACAAAAGGGACTAATATATATATATGAACATATTTGGTATTGAAAACAGTGAACTTAAATGCCATTATTGGGGCTCCCCATGTTATACCTATTTGGTGATATATCAATTTTTTTTTAAATCTGTAAGATTTGTTTAATTGATAAAAAGAGTTCAGGGAGCACCTGAAGATCTTAGATAAAATGGCAAAGATTATAAAATAAATATGTCCTCTAGATAAGCTTACCACTATAAAACATCAACAATATTATCAATGGCAGTCAAAAAGAGAAGAAATATTATAAATCTCAATTAAAACAACCACTAATTAATAAATGACATTAGAATAAATATCAAGCACATCTCTTCTGATCAATAATGCTTCTGAATACATACATGCAATAAATAATTCCAATTCAGACTAACTCATTTTATACTGTGACAATAAACCTTATCACACTAGTAACTATTATATAACCTACCACTATAGCCTTTATGACACCTATAAATGTGATCATTATGAATTCCAAAGAATCTTCTGGCAAGTTGGCACCCAGTGATAGACTCTCATGACTTTTCTTCAACATTTACACTGTAAACATTTTCTTTACAATTACAAGTCCATCACATTCCACGACTCTTGGCTGAAGCAACATTAGAACCTGACTCTAAATTGGAATGGCATCTTGGTCATCACAAATATCCTTCAGTTTTTTATTATTCACATTACTATATCTTTTATCTGAATGTTTATTAGGACTCATAGATGGCTTGTGCATAAATTGATCATCAATTATATTAGAGTCTGAATCAGGAATTGAATTGTAGGCAAAATGATCAGAGACTGGTGTACCCTGTTCATCCCAGCCACGAGTTGAGACATTAGGATCTTGATAAGAATTATACATGATATAACTTGGTGATCTAACTGAAGCAGCACTGGATGATGTTGCACTACTATTACTGGCATGTGATGCCATATCACTATCATTTCCATTCGGGACTTGTTTATCATCACGATTTGGTGACAAGTCATGTTCACTTAAAGTATCATTCACATTACCTGAATCAACCTCCAATGATTGGAGATCGTCTACTGATGTTCGAATGTCCTCTTCACTTATGTAGAGAACGGGTAATGGACTATGTTCCTCCTCAGAATCAGAACTATCGAAAGGTAGTAAGGGATTAGTTGCTGGATCATCAGTTATGGGACTTGGCACTTCGTCGGGGAATTCATTCATATTATGTACATCAATTACACCTGGATCACCTGGATAAGGCGGACCTGGATCAGATTCAGGAGTTCCTGTTATAGGATAAGGGGAGACAATATTTTCTGTGTGAGGTTCAGCAGGATAATCAATTTCATCTAAAGGGGCATAACCTTCTGAATCCACTGGGGCATCTTGCATAGATTCACTGTGTTCCAGATCATCTAATTCTACCTCATCTATAGAATCTTGTCTGGGTTTGGAGTCCGTTTTCCAAGGCGGATTAGGATCTGAACGTGACCGAGTTGGAGGGTTTCTACTGGGATTCTCCTCTCCTACTGTAGGATCGTCTACAGACACTGCCTTCAAGCGAGATCTTGATCCTCGTGCTGCTCGGTTTCTATTTGAAGGCATGAAATGATTTAAAGGTATTTCAACTTTGGTTTCTACAGTAGGTGTTTCTGTAAGGGTGTTACCAGGTTGTTTTTCTATAGTGGGAAATATCTGTGCCAAAGAACTTCCTGTCTGGGTGTTCTGAAATAACAATTTTAATTTTACAAATCAATTTAAAATCTTAGCATCAGGAAATATGAGTTCTTTAAATAAATCAGATTTTAAATTGCATTTTGTGCTTTCCGTGAGGACATTAAAAGAAATCTTATCTATCAAACTGCTGTGTGTTTTGTAATTCTTTTTGTATGAAAAAGGTTTTATTATAAGTTCAGACTAAAAAACACTTTAAAAGGACAACATAGATGCAAATTGCATAGCAAGATATGCCCATTTCCCTGATACATTTTCAGTATATCAAAGGCAGTCGCCAGTCTGTGTCAAATCATACGGACAGGAGTGACGACAATACGGTATACAACCCCATTATAATGTGGAGATTCCAAAAAGAAAAAACAGGCAGCAATAACCAATCATTTATTAGGTGCACTCAGAATACGAAGAATTTGTAGTAAGAAAGAATGGGAAAATTTCAATTTGCTAAACATCTGATGAATTCTGGATATAAAGACCACATTGTAGAAACTGCCTTTAGCAAAGCAAGAGAAAGGTCACACCTTGAACTGATATTTGTAGTTTGTTTCTTCCCCTGATGAAGTCAAAACTTTTTGATGAAACGTTGGGTATTAAAGGATGGTATTTGATGTCAAGTTTTATTATTTATTACACATTTCAATGTGGGCGTATAATAATGGCTGTAGAAAATAAACTATATTAGTAACCTACCTTATGAACTGATGGTCTAATCTGTGGTGGGGATGTTTTTCTTCTATTTGCTAGTGCAGAACTATCTACATCGTCTAACAATGGTATGGATGAATCTGGAATGTTCTTCTTGGATTTCATGAGCCTTCTTTTTTCCCACTTCTTACGTGCACGCCTGTAAATAAAATACTTTTAATATACCAATTGCCAAGCAATTAAGTCATCTTCATTTGTTCAATAAGGTGCAGAACACAAGAAAATTTATCAGTTGGTAATTGAAAGCTAATTGTTTGAAATACTGTACCTTGACATGAAGTAGGAAACAACACAGATAATGATGAAAACCAATACTGCTATAACAATGCCAATGATGATGAGAGTACGATCATGTAAAAGTTTTGCTTGTCCTAAAATAATAAAATTTACATCAGATATATAATGTTCATTTAGAAAAAATGTAATTCTTACAATCATTCTATGGTTTTGATATTTGCAAGGAAAAGGTTCAATGATTTCTTGTAGAATTCTCTAATGCAAATAGAAAAGAAATAATATCTCTTGTATAAGACACATTTATCAAGTTATACTCTGTTACATGTTTGACAACTTAGAATTTATCATTTTCTTTTTTTACCTTTGGCACAATTGATTCTTACATTATCCTACAAGGACAAAATTTGCAAGCTTTAACAAATGTTAACTAGGTTAGCCACAAATGTGAGAAATCATTAATCTAAATTTACATATTTTTTATCATTTGTAATCCTCTTAAGATTGTAGATGTCTTGACAGTGAACAGTAGGAGTGAAAATATATTAACTATTTTTAAGATATCAATCTAGTGTCAGAGATCTTATTTTCATCATAATTTATTTTTAAAAAAAGGTGTTTATCAAGTTAAATAATCCTATTAATCCTTTTCATTGAGATCTATTTGCAGTTTTAACAGCTGGAGGATAACAAAAATTAAATTCAAATTTTTCAGGTGAAATTCAAAACCTTTTCTAATTTTGCCTGTTGTAAATGTGGTAAATGAATTTGATTTGTCAAGAAGCTCAAGAACAATAAAATTCTGTAGAATGTTGAACAATTCAATTTAATAACTATTGAAGTTTTTATCAAAACCCTAAAAGAAAATCATATATCAAAAGAAAAAATCATCCCAGCTGATAATTTGTACTAGGTAGTAAAAATTTGTTTACATTTAGTCTAAGTTTATAATGACCCAGTTCTATCTAACCCTGCCCTAGTTTTAATATTTTTACCATCTTATTTCATACCATATCACCCTTTTGTTTATACTTTCTTATAAATATAACTTTTAATATAAATACAGACTGGTTCAACAACAGTACTGATGTTTATAACAACAGGAAGGCTACTGATGTTCAAAACAGTAAGAAGGCTACTGATGTTCAAAACAGTAAGAAGGCTACTGATGTTCAAAACAGTAAAAAGGCTACTGATGTTCAAAACAGTAGGAAGGCTACTGATGTTTAAAACAGTAGAAGGCTACTGATGTTCAAAACAATAGGAAGGCCTCTGATGTTCAAAACGGTAGAAAGGCCACTGATGTTCAAAACAGTAGAAAGGCTACTGATGGTCAAAACAGTAGAAAGGCTACTTATGTTCAAAACAGTTGGAAGTTGGAAAGCTACTGATGTTCAAAACAGTTGGAAGGCTACTGATGTTCATAACAATAGGAAGGCTACTGATGTTCATATCAATAGGAAGGCTACTGATGTTCAAAACAGTAGGAAGGCTACTGGTGTTCAAAACAGTACGAAGGCTACTGATGTTCAAAACAGTAGGAAGGCTATTATGTTCATAACAATAGGAAGGCTACTGATGTTCATAACAATAGGAAGGCTACTGATGTTCATAACAATAGAAAGGCTACTGATGTTCAAAACAGTATAAAGGCTACTGATGTTCAAAACAGTATAAAGGCTACTGATGTTCATAACAATAGGAAGGCTACTGATGTTCAAAACAGTAGGAAGGCTACTGGTGTTCAAAACAATAGGAAGGTTACTGATGTTCAAAACAGTAGGAAGGCTACTTGTGTTCAAAACAGTAGAAAGGCTACTGATGCTCAAAACAATAGGAAGGCTACTGATGTTCAAAACAATAGGAAGGCTACTTATGTTCAAAACTAGCAGATAGATTTTTAAAACATTTTAGCTTCAGCTAGCACACTCTCTTTAATCAGTAGTCAGTCACAAGTTTTCTAGACATAGTGATTTAAGCACACTCTTGTTCAGTAATGTAATCTTAATAACACATTCAAAACCCAAAAAGCATGTGCACCACAAAGGTCATATTTAAAAAGAAAAAACCTGTTGTGCCAAGCTGACAATGAGCCTAAAAAAGAATGTGCCAAATGCCTAAAATTGCTTAAGTTCACTTTCAAGCCTTTTACAAAATATTCACATATTAATACATACAAACCAATTTTGGAAAATTGAATAGAAAAAAAACAAATTCAAAAAATGTTTACAAAACAAACATGCTATTACAGAATAACGAATGGAAAATAATGGTTTGTTTTCATGTATATTTGATATTTTACATCAAAGTCATATCCAATCTACCTTGGATGCAAAAAAAGCTAATGAGCAAAGAGAATTCAGCAAAAAAGTTTTATGAAAACTTGGCAATCCATTACCCTCAAAAATGAAGCATGAACAGAATAATACCGCCAGAGTCAAAATATAAAGCTAAATACAGTCCAAAAGCTCTATTTTGCAGCCAGAATTGCAAATATTTGAAGAATGCATGACTAATTAAATAGAAATATTCAACTATAATTTATAAATATTTTGAGAAATCTTCAAGTATTATTGTTAAATATTATAAAGAAATATTCAACTATAATTTATAAATATTTTGAGTAATATTCAAGTATAATTGTTAAATATTATAAAGAAATATTCAACTATAATTTATAAATATTTTGAGTAATATTCAAGTATAATTGTTAAATATTATAAAGAAATATTCAACTATAATTTATAAATATTTTGAGAAATCTTCAAGTATAATTGTTAAATATTATAAAGAAATATTCAACTATAATTTATAAATATTTTGAGTAATATTCAAGTATAATTGTTAAATATTATAAAGAAATATTCAACTATAATTTATAAATATTTTGAGTAATATTCAAGTATAATTGTTAAATATTATAAAGAAATATTCAACTATAATTTATAAATATTTTGAGTAATATTCAAGTATAATTGTTAAATATTATAAAGAAATATTCAACTACAATTGATAAATATTTTGAGAAATATTCAAGCATAATGAATAAGTATAAGATTTTCATAAAGAAAGGAGTTAAGTTAGTCTTGAAGATATTTGCTAATAACCTGAAGTGTTGCATGCATCAAGTCAGGAAACAATGTCTATTTTAATAAGAGTTTTAACGTTTCACAAAATGGAATTTATTATTTCCAAATAAAAGAGTATTCTTGGATTGTTTTTACAGGATTCTCAGAAAATTTCACAACATGCAAAGATATAAACTTGGTCAAACTTATGTTAGTTAACTTACTTTTTCATGCTCTCTTTAATTTGTTAGTAGCAACATCTGATTAAAGATGGTAGGCTTATAAAATTGTGAAATAGGCAATGCTTTATCAAGAATTAGACAGGTTAAAAACACTGATTCAAGAACATGAAGTTCTCAATAAATAAGAATTCAAACTCCAAAAAATTGGCAGAGCGTATTCCACAATTATTGCCTGTTCAGAAATTGAATACATACTGCTTGTTTCACGTGTTAACTGAATATGGTCGTAGGTTTCGCAGCGTGTACCAGCCCATTCAACAGGACACCTAGTATTGAGATCGCAACGCTATCAGATACATTTAAATACATAGTGATACATTTACAACACAATTAACAACATCATAATTCAAATTACTGCCCTTGTCAAGAAAAAAAGAAGAAAAAGACTAAAAGAATATCCTAAAAGTTGCTAATTAAAAACAGAATGATGGCAAAATGTTTCTTAAGACTGATAAATCTTAATTTAATTTTAACAATTATATCAAGATGCATTATCTACCATGTCTCAAAATTTTCTTCTCAGGAAACATATCACAAAGCACCTTATCTTAATATATTATGGTGTCAAAAATTCTTAGGACAAAAAATAGTGTAATGCCAATAAAATTCCTCCTACAGAGATATCAATTAAATAATCAGAAGTCAGTAGATATGGTCTGATTTGTGGGTGGTGTATTGAAATACAACAAGGTTTGTACAAGACAATTGTTGGTATTAACAGGGTGAAGTGACATGTAATATTCAAGGTTGTCTGGTCAATAATCATACTGGTATTACGGGCTAATTCCTGTCAATTTCAGACACGTTAACTATGTCTTACAGGTTTACGTCTGGTAAATGTTTAGAAGATATGGATTCCAACCGGACATTTTCAGCTCATGTTTTCTACTGTCAACTGTTTAGTCTATAGTAACATTTTGTCTCATCCTGTCTGCTTTAAAGAAAAATTACTGATTTCAAAACTTTACAATTTTTTTTTCAAGGATCCCAAATTTGATGTCCTTTTGGTAAGTTTTAACTTTTTCTGTAAAATTCAAGAACCTGTTTGCATACAAAGATACAAGTAATGAAAACTGCCTGAATGCAGCAAGTATTAGAGAAATGGCCAGACATTGATTCCTACATTATAATTTATTAATAGGATTGTCCTTTGATATTTCTTAATGAAGAAAATAATGAGAGACATGGTAAAAAAAAATGCTTCTTTGATATATCCTTCCAGAGAAAAATGCTTGCTTTAATAAAAATCAAAACCATGCACCACTTGTCTGTAGCTAAAGGTAAATTTTGCACTAATGATGCTGGGATTAATTGATTAAATTAACCTTAATACATACAATATTAATGTCCAACATCAACACAGATTATTTTTTATCAATTTTGTCTAAAACTATCTTTGAACAAGGATTATGATCTATCGTAAAACAATTCAGCAGCAAAAACAACCTAATCTCTGCTATTAATAACTAACGTTTTGGACGACACACTTGACAATAAAAAATGTTTTGACAAAGCATGCCATGATATATTAATAAAGAGAAAATTCAGTTTTTTTAATCCAATATAATTCATATAGTGTATAAACAGCAAACAAGGTTTTTTAGAAAAATTTGGATGATTTTCAAAATAGGTGTGTCGCCTCTGGTTTATTTAGTAAACAAGTTAAAAACAATTTTTCTACATCCCATCATTCTGTTAATAACTAAGATAACTAATTTTACGATATTTTAAAATCAGGATTAGTTGCAGTGCTAGGATAAGCTGTTAAACACAAGATTAGTAACTAAATAAATACAATAATAACAACAAAATAGCCGCGCTTTACTTCAGCACTTTGTTAATTCAACTCAAGGATGGAACCATTTCACTATTGGTCACAACACTCTAGGAATTTCACACAATGGGATCAAAAACATCGAAAACTAAGAGAAATCATGCATTAAACATTGTTTTAAAATCTTCATCTTTTGGTCAATACATTTGAATTCATGCATTAATGACGTGCTAATTTTAAAATATGAAATTTCATTGATGTTTTATATTGGTTGTCAGTGGTAAAAATCCTAAACATGCCATGCACAAAACTGAAATGATTGTGAGTTGATTTAAACAAAAATGCTGAAAAAAGGTTGAGATCCATACCAACATCCTCGACTGCATCAGATGCACGTTCCTGACACCTGATCCCTTTATATTCCTTGAGACATCTAAATATTATATAGAAGGTTATTAGACAAAAGAATAAAGAGAAAAAAAAATAATCAACTGTCTGTCACCTTTCAACTAAAACTACTGAAATTAATTTTCATATATCTATGGAGTTAACCTGCTTTAATGGGAGATTGTGTGCCAACTTCAAAATAAGAATTTTTTTTTTACAACCTTCATTTGGTAATATTTTTTGTCTAATTTTCTAACTATTCTTTCTAATTATAACCAAGATATATTAAAACTTTGAAATATTCTCTGTTTATTGGCACTCACTCCCCTTAAAATTCAACTTTAATGATAATCATGTCAAAACTTTAATGTGACAAAATATTCTCATATCTGTACGGGAATTCGGAAAAAGATGAAATTTTAAACTTTTATTTTATCAAGAGAATAGGATTCAGACATGTTTATCTAACAATAGAGCCAAAAATCTACCAGAAGGGCTGATGCTTTCCATCTTTTAATGGACGGATGTTGGTTTAAGTGAAAACTTAAGTAAACTATTGAGATCATTGAGATGTTCTAGCTCAGTTATTGTATCGTCAAGCCTCTGATAAAAAAAAGGACCAAAACCAAGATGATCTCTATGCTATATCTAATACTTACCATAATCTATCTATAGGCTAATAATACAATTAATAATCTTACAGGCTGAACAATAAACAAAACTTGAGATTCTGAACAACAAAAGCAAATAACAGTTCACCTAAAAGCACTAAATTTAATAATGAATATAACACACTGCTTTATTTTGCAAGATATTACAGTGAGATAAGGTGTACTTACTCCTCCTGATTATCTGATACTAATTGTTAAGTTAAACATTTGATTTTCAAGCATTCATCGTATTTCTTTGGTGTTTTATGTAATTAAAGTGTTTGGCATTTAAAGAAAATCATTGTTTTGTTATTAGAACTTATCTATTCTTGTCTATTATTCAACCTGTTTAAAACTAATAAATGTGTGTTAGTTCAAGCACTTGTCAAACTAGATGAGTGTTTAAAATGAAAATGAACACTTTTAAAGGCATAAAAAAAAGTATAAAATTCAAATAATCATGAAAAGTTATTCAAAAGTATCACCCTGTGTCCTTCTACCCAATCGGAGGTAGGGAAATTTACAGGTTCAATGTTAGCAAAATGAATTGGAATGGAGTTTCTACTATTCAGCATCTGATTGGGCTAACAAATCCAGACATGAATTGTGCAGTGAGGAAAATTTTGCCAGGACAGCAGCATTAGCTTACTCTCTTTTGATAAGGGATCTTTAACATGCACAGCCTGTAGCACATAGGACTTAAATTGATGCATTCTCCATGGTATATTTGCACCTTATACACATTATTGAAATAAAAAAAATATATCA